TGGTCAATACCCCCGTATACTTCTTCATCTATGCTCTCAGCTCCCTATTTTTAGTCCAATACGTCTGCCTCCCGGCTCCAATAGTAAGCTTCATCACATATATCGGTAGCTTCTTCTTCCTTCCGATCATAGGGTTCCTCTTCACCGTATTAATCATATTCCCATGTCTCCTTCTCGCCTTCACGACGTCACATATTTCATCCTTTATCCAATCCTTTCTTGACGTCCCCATCAACAAAAACACCTTTCCCAGCCTTTTAGACTACTGCGTCAAATTCCTATCTCAATCATTTGAGCTTATCCCCATTATCATCGTATCCATCCCCTTGTTACTGGTGGCCCTTTTCCATTCCATCCTAACAAGCGCCCTATATATAATCTCAAATCCCTCCTGCATAATCTGTTTCCCAGAGGTAATCCTCTCTATCTGGTCATTTGTACGATTTCAGTTCGACCCCTACGCATACTTGTTCCTCTACAATTTACCCGGGCGATTTGCCTACCTAGTTCTTGGTTTGGTATTAGAACCATGGAAGATCACTCAGTTCTTGGCAGAGATCGCGAAGAGTGTACTTCTATTGATTGGGATTCCAGTTAACGAGCTTGGAAAGGGCGTTTCGTGGATTGGGCGGAAGCTGGCGAAGACGGGGGGAGCCGGACATTTCATGGGGGTTCGGCAGCGTGGAAGTGACGGGCTGTTGGTTGGGGTTTTGCTCATTGTGGGGTACATGATGTTGGACTGGATGAAGGGGCTGACACTGAGTCGTTTGAAGGACTTTGTTGTGTGAGCGCCATTGTGAGCAACTCTAGTTGACTATAGTTCGGTGGAGGTAAAAGTCTTGACATTAATATTACATTATATATCTAGTTAATAGGTAACGGAAAACAAACATTAGTATCTATATGATCTCGTGGATAAAAATTGTAAATCGAAACGCTGGGAGAATTTGAACAAAGTAGTAGGCTAAACACCAGTCTGCTTCAAGCAAGAACTTATTCTACTACCATACCCCATACCCCTGCGGCTAATCCTCGCTGCTTCTCATTTCCTGTACAGTCCAGCTCTAGCTCAATAGCCCCCTTAGCGTGCGGTGATCCATCCCTTCTGTTATTATTTTCTGTCTATATTGGTTTGCGTGACCTTTCCTCAAATATCCCTTCGTTGTATGCTACCTCCTGTGGTATTTTCAGTCCCTCTTTCCAACCATTTCTCAGAATCCCCTCGTTCTCCACCCAAAAGGGCTTCTTCCCCAGGATGCCCGCCCTCCAACTCTTCCATTCCCCACCAAGAGCCGCCACCTCTTCCCGTATAGCCATCACATATTTTTCAGCCACCAGTCTCTCTGTCTCCGCCTCCACAACTTCCCTATTATCCACCAGCACCTTCCACCTTCTCTGTTCTTCCCTATTAAATATATTCCTCAGAATCTCCACTGGAGTAAGTGTTTTATCCTTACTAGCTGAACATAAACCGCCAAATAACCCAGCTCCATCCTCTCCTACCACGATAGAACTCCCGATTAAATTCCTCTTCACTTAAACTGTCTCCGGTAGCCTGCATAAGGAAGGAAATATAAGTCTTTAGCGCGCGTATGGTATCCACCACACGGCAGTCTACTCTAGAATCGAGTTCCAGGGGTGGCCGAGCGGGGTCGGGACGTTCTCGTCATATGACCCTTAAGGTTGTGCATATGAGTACTGAGTTCAAAAAAAAAAAAAAATGGGGTCGGGACGTACATAATGCCAAATATGGGGCCTCTCACGGGCATTCCCAAGGTCTGAAATAAGCCAGCTCATAACCATCGTAGTCGAGTTCGAGGGAGACGAAGGGGGCTGTGGCGCTGCTGGAGAGAGAAAGATGTCGTCGGTTTTGATATCACCGTGGCACTAACATGCACAATCAGTAAATTCTCCCCTTGTGTATTCATACCATTGACCAACGATGGGACAGGAGCCGCTTACATATCCCTCCTCATGCATTCCCTCTAAGCTCTAAGAACCTCAACAAGTACCTTCTATACACACAATCCACTTCATGCAGCTTCAATCCTAGCCTGCTTATAAGAACCATTAATTTGTCTAGCGTCCCATCCTCATTGTATGGCATTACAAGCTGCCAATGCTTCCCGAACCACCGATTCTTCACCTAAAAGTAATCCAGTATCCTCATCAACCCATTTCCCCCCGCTCCCGCTCCGGCCGTACCACAAAGTTTCCGAGATTTCCACTAGCCAAGTCACCACCGTTTTCTCCCAAAGCCCGCTTCCAGCCAGCTCCCAGTTAATAGGTCTTACGGTACTATCAATCTATACCATGATTCCACTCCTGGATTAAACACGCCAAAAAGGTGTCCCGGCAGAGGATTTACCGTCGTCCCCTCAAAGAATGTCTTGATGGCGACCTTCTTTCCTCCTCCTGGCTGCTGCATGTCGAGATAAACTCTTTCCTCGCCTTCATATCTCCTGCATAGTGTCTTGATATTCACATACCTCCCGCCATCGATGTCCAGGGTATGTTTATCGATGGTGCGAAAGGTTTTCTCCCGCGGTGGAGGGATGGGATGCTGTGCTGTAGAAGGACTGAGGTCGTCGCCCGGCGCTGGTGGGAACAGGGTGGGTATCTGCCGGGGTGAGTGGGCGCGGATAGAGCGGGCGGTGGGCATATGATGAGGGTGAGGAGTATGGAAGCGAGAAGAAGACGGAATAGAATGAGGAGAGTACGGCCTCGCGTGCGCAGGATGGCGAGGAGATAGACTGCCATTTAGATTTTCAGGAAGGGCCGGGTAAGCGATAGCGCCTGCCCACGGGAGGAGGGTAGCTGATCTACGGTGGCTTACTACTAAGTATGTACGTATACTCAATCTGGCAATTATTAGGACGACAACTGCTAACCTCAAACGATCCCTAGCCCGACAAATTCCTCTGTAAATCGCGAACAAAGTTGGCAGAATACCTGGAGTGCCGGTATACAGGTATAAGAGCATGACGGCGTGTCGATCTTCTTCGAAAAGTCTAAATTGGGACAATCTTTCAACTATCTCGGGGATGTGCTACTTCGTCATAAGCAAGATAGCTGTTGAATATGACTGATGAGTTACAGGGAAAAGACAAGGAATTTCGTCAGGGACTCATTGACATTTCCGGACGGTACGGAAATCAATTGCAAACACGCCTCTCTTTTATATAGTTGGAAATAGCACTGGCTGCTGATAAAACCTCGAAGTCGAGTGACGCTCAAAGTCCGCTATATTAGCCCGACGTATTATTGCCTTTTGAGGATGATTGTGTTATTGAATGATGCCAGTAGCTAGCATGATTTTGTTTACCATTCCTTCGCTGTCGATACTTACGTAGTAACCGAAGGCGCTTGTCCAGGAGCTTTCGACCTCGTAGGATCTGTATATGTGCAATCAAGTCCCCACATGTCCCTGACGCCCTAAATCGGCCTGGTCATGGTGCCAGCTCAGTCTGCATTGAGTAGATGTAACGCAAATCTTTTACTTCTAAATATTCAAAAATTACCTTTTCTTCGCGACGGACTTCATAAATCCAAGGAACAGTCGCGTCATCGTGGCAAGTTCTAGCAAGACTTATACATACATCAAGAATATAAGGGCTTGGAGCTCGAATATATATCAAACCGGGTCCTGTGAGGGCTAGACTGCCTGATCTGGTAAACGAACATTAGCTTCATATGTCAGGTGCCAGGGCTGTGCCGCACGTGCTCGTACTGTGACTCGGCGCCTATTTCGGCAGACTTAAAGAAACAGGGTTTAATATACCTTTAACTACTCCAGCAAATCACATCTATATCGTCATCAAACACCCCTTGCTGCACGAAGGTGTCCCAGAACTTTTGACCTAACAAAGTAGGTGCAAACCAAAGGTACGAAGTTGGTCACCTTCCGCCCTCCCAGCGTAGCAGCCCCCATCTGCCTTTTCTCTTCCCCCAGCGAACCACCCCCGCTTTTTCTTAGTTAATACATATCTCTTCCTCCTTCCATATGTGTCTTAGCGCATAGCCATATACTATGCATTTCAAAATAGGAAAGAGGGAAAGAACTTTTGGTATGCATCTCCGTATTTATATATATGTATAACTAAATAATTGAACATAGATCAGACTTCGGTAGCGCCAGTCATCAACATGACATAGGACAGTCATGAACGAGTAGGAATCTTAAATTGACGAAATATTATACAAAGAAAATGCATATATGTGGTTGGCCCTTTGCTATGCTAATCCTACAGGCACGTGCATGCGCATAGACCGAGGTTAGGTTTCACATACACATACGCAAAATGTCTCACGTTACGACCACATCTGAATGTACATATATGCATACTTATCACTCCGCCCCATTCGTTATGCAACTTTGGCCGCGGGTCAGTAGGATGATAGGTAAACAGCCAGAAGCTAAGAGTGAAAGTACTTCAGCTTCATAACTATATGTATATGTCGCCGAAAAGCTAAAGAACGGCCCCGCTGCCGTTTATTACAGCGAAGTCAGGGGCACATTTGACGGACGTACTTTCCGTATATACCTAATCATCGTGGGCATACTCTGACTTATTGTCATCGCTCCCATCTGATAAAATACGTATATATTGTATATATTGTCACCCTAGGTTATCCATACTTATATCCTTACTCCTGCCAACATACACTGCGAAGTGAGGCTCGATGAGCACGAGACTTCCCGAATGAGCAATACGTACACGTAACCCCCTCTTTCGGAAGATAAGGATGTATTCTTGACCCGGCGGTAGTAGCATGAGAATGTGATACTTAAGTAATTATAACATCTTATGTAGCAAACAGAATAGTACTGGTAACCTAGTCTCCCCTCCGCAGGCTGGTAACCTTGTGGCAATTTGGGTGCCAACCAGACTAGTACTGTAATTTGGCTAAAAAAGTAAACAGACTAGCGTTCAATAAGTCATTGCGTGAAAATTAACCTCATTCATATAAATATAAGGTGAATCAATTAGTAATCTACATCCGTCGTGGTGTAGTGGCTAGCATTTGAGACTCTCATGTTCATTCTATGTGGACTCTCAGAACCCGGGTTCAATTCCCGGCGACGGAACTTACTTTTTCTATTTGTTTCCTTTTTTATTTTATTGATGGCTTCGAAACCCAGATATTAAGAATGAACAAGCATGAGGATAAAATGCGTTCTGATAGCGCAGGCTTTTAGCCTTTGCCATGATTTCGAGACTAAAGCTGATTTCGTGCCACGTAATTTGTAATTTTATTGTCCGATTAAGGAGATGGAGTTAGGGTAACGAAAACAAGCTCTGCATGTGCTAATGAAATAATAGAATATTCGACATAAATAACTCTATGCCGATATTGTAGTAATAGATATCCAGGACAGTAACTTCAAATTTTTGTTTCCTAGGGCATTTTTCACAGGATTAGGGTCGGGATTTCCATATACAGTTGTCCCACATAGTGAATAAGCATATTTCTATTCTAAGAATATTCTTATATTTCTTTTGCTTAGTCACCATATATATGCTTGTAATGAGAGAAGCAATCAGGTATGCTTATCGATATAAAGAAATTCTAGAGTGTATTCGAGTTGCACATCCAGGTCTCCAGCTTTATCACTTCAAGTAAAACCTACAGCCAATGTCGTCGAGCTACAAACTGACCTAAGGCGTGAGAGGAAACGAATTGGGACTCTGGAAATTCAGCGCAGGTATCAGCATATTCAGCGCAGGATTACTGACTTCCGGAACCACCCCTCCTCTACCTGATATTCCCCTGCTTGAACTGTATCTACTCTTGTCTGGCTATTTTGCATGTATGCTTTACCTGATTCTGCAGCCTTTCTTACCCCTGCACTCGCTTAATTTTATACTTCCTATTTTCCCTTGATATAAGAATATATTGGTTGCAAGCATATTTCCTCTGGTCCGGAGGGTATGCTTGTAACGAGAGTCATCTGTATATATATGTATAATTTTCCATATCCTAGTCTGGCGGGCACCGCCTCTCCCCATATCTAAGGTAACATATGGATATATAGTCTACACGACGGGGGGGAAAGAAAGTTATATGAACAACCTTGTTAGATTAGACTCAGGCTGGGTCGGAACACAGACATCGATCGCAGTAAACCAAACTTTACGAAGTGCAATCCGCCACTCCTGGACCACTCTAAAGCTATTTGGAGAAATTTCTAATGAGAATTCAGCAGGCCATCCGGGGTTGGTAAGCATTCTAGATGCTATAAGTGGTTTTGAAGTGGCTTTAACGTAGAGCTTGGGAACAAGGTGGGAAATTGGAGAAGCTGCACTTCTCCTATGGTCAAAGCTTGGGGTTGTAAACACCGTTGGGAGGTAAGTGGACTGTATACTGCCCCACTCGAAAGGAGCCCGAATTGCTCAAGGCCATGCGAATGACTTTCGGTTAATTGACCTGGACGCTTTGCCGGCCTTTGCCCTTAACCAGCTGGGAGCCCGAATGAGCACGCAAATGAATGCTGCAAAGCAGGTTACACCTGAAAAACTCGAGACAGGGTAACGTGCACCATAATCAAGCTGATAACTTCCATCAATAATATTTGACCACTGGAAAACTAAGTCCATACATCTAAACATATCGGCCTTTGGAAAATAGAATCATGCAGAATAGAAGACTAAAGTAACCCTCTAGCAAGACACAACATCCTGAAAGTTTCCACTGTCCGACTACTGATGTACCAACGTAAGGCATCTGGGGATTGCAGAGCGTTTGCGTGGTACAAATGTAATGCCTGGAGCTTATATGCATTGACATCAGTTTTGGTGGTGTCATTGTAATCAAACCCAAGCCAGTTTATTTGAACTTGAAGCCCAACTTCTCCGAGAAACTTGATAAACCGATCCGAGAACGCAGACCAACCTTCCAAACCAACAGGCTCCGTTAATGGGACTCCGCCATTCAAAAAACTCCGTAAACCACTATCAAGTCGACTCTTCTGGGAATCCGAGAGGGATGCAAGGGATATCGCCTCAATATATCCGTACATCCCGGTGATGGTAGAGTTGTGTACCGGTAATTCTGAAGTTAATTTACCGAGTTCAAACAAAAGAGCTTCGATGCGTGAAGACAGCTCTTGGTTGACAGACAACAGCTTTTGATGTTGTTCTGCATTTTGCGCAGACAATCTTTGGACTTCCTGTTTAAGGTGTTCGAGTTGCTCGACCATGTTCTATCTACCAATAACATTAGCTATCACTGCCTTATAATATGAAGGGTCATCAGACCACAGATCAGCAACAACTAATGTGCGTTCCAAAGATGTCTTAGGTTTAATGAAGTTGATCAAGATGTCTAGTATAGCCAGCCGGCTTCCGGGTAGCAGTTGGGAATTAGGAAAGCTGACCTGGATGATCAGAAAGGTCACGAAAATTCTAACTGCTAATATAAATAGGAATGAAAACTGATATAGGATATCTAGGTAGAAAAAAAATCAAGCTTGCATGACCAGCACATAGATCAATGCATGTCCAGCACATAGATCAATAGAGCGAAGAGCCCACAATAGACCATCCAGCTTGTCAATTCCTCTATCTTCACCACCTTTCTCAACAAAGTAGATGTGCATGAATTCACGTTTCGGATTAATATCTTGACAGTATATGCTGTACATACGTACATATAACCCTGCTTAGGCAATGACCTCTGGAACTTTGTCTATTCATGTTTTGTATTGATTTAAGTTCTCCGGCTTCCCGACTCATGCTGTTTTATAGGCTTATCATTACCTAGAGAATCTTTCCTGTTATAACCGCGTGTTCCCATCTAACTGGGCAGGTTCTAACTCACAGGCCTTTTTCCAAGTTACCAGAGATAACGCATTGGGTAACAATATTATCTATGTGCAGAATTGTCTTAAATTCTTCGCGCTGCCTCGACTGCAGGCTGGATGTCTATTAGGAATTGGTAGAGCTCTAGCTATCACTGAAATTCAGCCGTATCTGTCGCTGCGACCAGTCGATCAAACCACCAATAAAGTGTTGATGATATGACTTAAATATATACAGCCAATGTTTTATCGAGGCATTAAACATTTCGCTGTACAGGCGAAGCTCACTCTCTAGATCTATTTACGGGCCCTACATACGATGATATAAAGTAAACTTGAAACCTGTGAACCACCAATAGCAAGAGGTTGTACCTACAGTACTTAAGGGGTAAGACCACTGCGCAAGCTCAGCTTAAACCACATATTTGTTCTCCGCATTCATATTCCGTATGCAAAAGACCTTTTATTCGCTGGCTCGATTTTTAAAACTGTGCTATTTCTGTATCCCATCTCTCGATGTCTCGTCGTCCACGTCACCGTGACCGTGACCATGTGATAAAGGTGAAAATCGAAAAGAGATTGTATATGCGCCTCTGAAGACTATTCCTTAATTTCGAGGATGTGACCGGGCATTACAATTCGCTAGAGGAATGCTCAGAAATCAGAAGATCTAAATAGCTTACGAGGACAACTAACTTGCCGCACTCCTGCCCTTAGTAAACCATTCTCATCACTGTAATCAACTTGCGTTGCTCCTCAATTTCCCTGGCTGTGTTAGGCAGCTGTTATCATAAATGCCATCTCAGCCAAACCGATCTCAGCTGGAGGCCTGGGAATGAGAGCCCCACTGATCTTGTGTACCAACGAAAATCATGGTCACAATACCCAGTACTAAGGTAAATAGCAACCGTAATGGGAAAAATAAAAGGCAGAAGATGATACTCCTCGATACAAGTTCTGGGATCGCCCTCAACCCCACAATATACTAGACATACCATTGAGATCAATATCACACTGGTGATGTAGTTCGAATCGAAGCTACTGAAGCTTGGTGCGCTATGCATCATTACTAGGCAACCTAGCACTCAAGATTTGAGCCACTAGGGTCTGTCTAATTTACACATGTGCCTCAAATAGATAGTGTAATTGGTGGATAGCATGTGATTCGAGGGATTTGCTGGGAATTCAATGTATATCACTTCGGGTCAAGTGTGTCATGCATGCATGAAATCATTGTATTGCCTAATCAGGGATTTGCACTGCACTATTTCTGTCTCGAGAAGGGTGGAAACTGGCGAAGGAGTTCCTAGGTGGGCTATATGAGTTCAGTGTATGTATAACGTATCAAGTTCATGTATTGGGGAATTAGATATTTACTTGGATGGACTGCGCCATCTCATTACCGTATAGTTATGGTCTTGGTTCTCGTAAAGGGAATTGATTAATTAATAAGAAAAGCCATAAATTCGAATGGAAGAGAGCCCAATGTTGAGGCCCACTAGAAAAAATCGGTATTCCGGCATGTGATGTATATAGAGTATCAAATACAGGTCAGGGTGAATTCTCACAGATAGTCTAGTCGATCTACATACGATCCTTGGTATCTTTGCTTTAGATGCTTCACGTGGTCTTTGAAGCTGGCTGAGTTACTACAATAAGAGGCTGCATATACAGTTTCACATTATTATATATCTGGCCATGGAAGGTTGTGGAGCTCTAGTCTCTAATATTGTACATCTAGAGACAGCATACTTCTTACCCTCCATAACCTATATTTCTAGATACAGATCTCGGAACTAGTCGACCACGAAAGGTATATCCGGCTGATAGTAATGAAACTCCCACAAGACGATTCACTCCACCCGAAAGCTCAAAGCGCATTCAGAACTAGACCTATATTTCTGTGATACTATTAGTTTCCTATAAATCGTATCACACATACTACTATTTCCATAGATATCTCCAGAGGGCATACCGCACGTGCACTGATTACAGTACTAGCTCACTATCGGAGCTGCATAAGCTACTATCGCTTCAGGCGGATATAGTAAGAAATTAGCGTACGTTAGGCTCAACCTTCTTTAGGATTACAACACGACCTTAGGCAGGCTTAAAAGTTCAGCCCTGCAGTGAGGAAGTACGCGTACAAACCGCCAACCCACGAGGACTGAAATCGGTTATCGGCTAGAGCCCCGCAACTTTTTCATTATATGCTAAATTTAAATTCGTGTAAGATGTTTGCATCAAGCTCTAGCCTAGGGCGGAAGAGTTCGAACAGGCTTGCTTAT